GATTTCCAGAAAATTACAGACTTTCTACCATATACTAATGTTGAAAATGACAATGATTTTTATCAAGAAAACAAAACAAAAAAAAAAAACAAAAAAAAAAAACAAAAAAAAACCATTCAAAGTTAAAAAAAAAGCCCAACTGTTCCTCATTCACTTAGCTGTAGCCAAACTAACTTCATAACCATTCTACCTTCCTCGAGAACAAGGCCACACAAAATTAGCCTTTGTTTGTTAATGTTCGTGTTAAGTCTATACATGGAGCTGAACACACACTAGAAATCCCAGCATCCACTCCTAGAAGGGAGAGGAAGCTCATAAAACTCAGGAAGCAAAATAAATTAGAAGAGTCAGTATGATGGATCATCTTCATTGTCGGTCCAACTGGATTTGGAACCTCGCAGGAGAGACGCTTCAGCTGCCTCATACCCTGCCCACCGTGCCTTCCCTGCCCCCAAACTGTGAGTCTAAACAAACCTCCCCCTAAGTTGCTTCTCAGGCATTTTGTCACAGAAACAAGTAACCTATCCAGGGGCTGGAGAGATAACTCAGTGGTTGAGAGCACTTACTGATCTTCTAGAGGACCTAAGTTCTGTTCCCAGCATCTACGTCAGTGCTGCCCAATAGCCTGTAAGCCTAGCCCTAGGGAACCCAAGTCCTTCTTCAGGCCTCTGATGTCACCTACACTTTGGTGCACATACCCATAAACACGCACACATGCCTAAAAAGAGATTTTTAGCCAGGCTGTGGTGGCACATGTTACGCTAGGGACCCTGACTAATACAAGACGCTTTCATGAGTTCACTAAATCTCAGGAATTGTCTTTAACATATTTATCCTTTGTCTACTATGTCCAATTGAAAGCTAATTATTTGGCTGTGTCTATTTGAACGTGTGATACTAAGAAATTAGTCCAAGGCCTTGTGACACTAGGTCAGAACTCTGCCCCTGCATTATGCCTGTAGTAGTTTGAAGATGTCCCCCATTGTTCCCCGGCATTTGAATATTTGATTCCCAGCTGCTTTCGGAGTTTCAGAAGGCTTGGGGGGGGGGGTATAGCCTTGTTGGAAGAAGTTTATCACCTGAGGCCAACCTTGAGCATTTAATGACTGGCCATTTTGATTTCTCTTTCTCTCTCTCTCTCTCTCTCTCTCTCTCTCCTTCTTGCTTGTGTACCAAGATGTAAGCTCTCAGCTTCCAGCTGCCATGCCTTCTCTCTGCAGTCATGGAATCATATGCCCAGAGAAATTATTTTTTTATAAGTGGCCTCTGTCATGGTGTTTTATCATAGCAACAGCAAAGTAGCTAATGTTTATCCCCAACCTACCTTTGATGGACGTGACTTTAACACTCAGAGAACAGCTTGTTTTCTTGGCACTGGACACTGAACCCTGCACACGTTAGGCAAGTGCTTTACCAATTAACGGCATCGCCAAACCTTTGACTGTTTAACTGTAAATTAGGTTCCTTTTTAGTTCAGTTCAGTTTCTCTTCAATAACTCCCTCTTCCCTAAGTTCCCTGACGATATTAAAGCAAACGTAAGAAGTCTTTTTTTCTTCTAATCCACTTTTACAATTTTTTTGTGATATGAATAATCAATTTAAAATATAATATATTCCTTTAATCCCAGCACTTGGGAGGCAGGTGGATCTTGAGTTTAGGAACGATCTTGTCTACTGGCCAGCATGGGATACAGACTGAGACCCTGTTCCAGAAAGAGAAAGAGAGACTGATTCTTACAATTGTAGAAAAGTTGTCCAAAGCATGCAACACTAAGTCGTCAAGATGACTCTGAGGATAAAGGCATTTGCTAGTTTGAATCTCCAGAACCACAATGTAGAAGGGATGGAGGCATAAAGATCAGTAGTTCAAGGTCATCCTTGCTTATAAAACTGAGGCCCTGTCTCAAATAAACCAGGGACCAGCAAGACTGAAGATGTAGAGGCACCTACCACCACACCTGATTGCTAGAGGGTGGTCTCCAAGACATACAAGGGAGAAGAGCCAACTTCTAGAACCTGTCTTCTTCCTCCACTCTCATAGCCTGCGAAGCATGCATCATCTCACTCAAATAAGTGAGTTAATTGAAAATCCAGATGTTCCATTAAAAAACAAACAAACAAACAGACAGATGCCAGGACAGTGGTGGTGCATGCCTTTAATCCCAGAGCTTTGGAGGCAGAGGTAGGGCAACTTGCTCTACAAAGCCAGACCCTTTCTCAAAAAAAGAAAAGAAAAAGAAAAATGAAAAAAAAAATTAATGACTAAAAGTGGACGGTCATCCTTGACTACATAGTGAGTTCAAGGCCATCTGGGACACCATGAGACTCTGCCAGAATAGAGACAATGATTACAGCTCTGTGCGACTGGCATTGGCCAGTCCCGACTTGGCTTATGCCAAGCCAGCGCTCTACCACTGTCCTCCACAGTTCAGCCTTCCTTACAGGCTTCTCTACATCTCAAAGGCTCCTAACAAAGCTCAGTTCTGAGAGAGTCAACCACTTGGTCATAAGATGACTGGCGGCTATGCTGAATCCCACACCCAGCTTGAGATCACGCTCAGTTGCCACTGTGCCAAGCTGTGTTTGCAAGGAGCCTGTCTATACATTCATCCAGAGAATTGCTGCTGTTTTCTTGTCGTTTTGACTTGTAAAAGATTTATCAGCTAAAACCAACAAAAAGCAACCCAGTTGGAAATCTAACCTCACTACGGGATAATGAAAACAGAGGGCTTCACTTGCAGTTTTCTCATTTCCCAACTTAGGTTGGGCAGAAAAGAGTAACTCGTTTAGACTGTACAATTGGTGTTAACAACAGTCTCCAGTGCAAACAGGACTCTGGTTAACATTTATAAAGTGGAAGGGGCCCAAGTTGGCCAAAAGGAAGAACATGGAAATTCTGCCCACAGCCAGAACAATGGACATAGATTTGTCAAAACAAAGAACAGTTCAGGGAGGGAAGGCAATTTGTCCAGCCCTTGTTATGGTATTTTATGACTATTTTTCCAGTGACTAGTTTCCTATTCACTTTAACAAAGAAAAAAAAAGATTAAACAAAAATAAATGTAACATTTTTGCAAGTTTATATTATCCTTTGGTAGAAACAAATAAATTACAGTGTTCAAAATCCAACCCCTGAAAACAATCTGGAATCCTGTGATGGCAGTAGCAAAGCTGCCCTTCAGAGCTGTGGAAGGATTTTCAAGACTTATTGTCCATCTTTGGTGAAGCTTTAATGTTAAGAAAGGTTAAACTAAAATCCTGGGGATGTAGTTCAGTGGCCAAGCACTGGCTTAGTGATTTACAAGTCCATGAGTTCCACACACACACACACACACACACACACACACACACACACTCACAAAGTAAAAAAATAGCGGGTTGGTTGAGACTTTTCTTACTATGCAAGGATCCCCAACCTTCTATAAACTGGACGCACAGGGCACACAGGTCAGTAACCCCAGGCCTGGGGAAGTGGAAACAGGAGGTCAAGGCCAAGGTCTGGGGAATGTGGTAGCACCTTTAATCCCAGAACCCAGGAGGCAGAGGCAGTCAGATTTGTGAGTTAGAGGTCAGCCTGATCTACATGGTGATATCAAGGCCAGCCCAGGCTACATAGTGAGGCTCTCTCAAAACAAAAATTCAAGGTCATCCTTGGCTACACAGTGAGCTTGAGGCTAGACTACTTTACAGGAGACCCGAAGTCACCTCAAAGCCTCCCCTGAAGAAAACATTTTTTAAAAAAAATGTAGTTCTCTTTAGGCTATTGTCCTGACCTAACCGACCTATTTCCTGACATTGCACAACAGAACCTTGGCTCTCACCCTGTCAACCTGTCCTTTGGATGGCACGTCAAAGAGTTATGTTGAGAAAGCTAAGAACAACATCAATAACTGGAAAAGACGTTACAAACGTAAGCCTTGAGTTTAAAGGTCAAAGCTGAAAACAAAACAAAACAAAAACAGGTCCTGAGAATATCACAGAGTGGGGACCAGAGCGCTCTTGATTTAAACACTGTGCGTGCGGCACGTGCTCACTGCCTCCCTGTGGGCACCAGGGCTTCCTTGGCAGCTAACACAGTCAAGCGCGAGCATTTTTCACATACAGGGGTTTGCTTTGTTTTGTTAAGCCAAAAGTCGGCACCAGCAAATGTGTTTTTCTTCTGGTGTCAGAGATGACGGTGGAGTGAGCTTTGCTTCTGACCTAAGCGTGCAAGCCCATACTCACACCCATGTAACCACGGGGGGCGGGGGGACGACGACGACGACTGCCTGAATAAACAGCAAACGCAGATCCACACATGGAAGGCCGCTCTGCTTATCCAAACACCCCCTAAGAATGTGCTTCATTTTTAAAGCCTCCTTAGGAAACGGCTGCCGCTTTGCAACAGCCGTGAGTTTGCAGTGAAAACTGCCTCTGCTTTCGGTTTGGGGAGTGGCAGTGGCTACAGTAGGTAGCACACAGCCTCGGTCACCTCTCCTCTGAGTTTTTAAACGGGTGAATTCCGTGGCGTGGAGCAAACACCAGAGCTCCAAGCCCCACCCTATCCGTTGGTCAAAACTAGCGACCTCAGAAAGCCTTTGGCACGCTCCAGCTGAGAAGGGGACGCGGGGTAGGAACTGGAAGAGTTTGCACAGGTCTTCTCTACAGCCCAAGACATCAGCCTCCGGAGGTTCCGGAACATGTGCACCGCTTCGGCAAAAACAAAACCTACCCAGGTTCTCAGGAGAGGGGGGACCCGATCGGTCAAAAATCAGCCAGACCTGTGCAAGGCGGGAGGCCCCTGTCCCATCACCCCGGCTCTCGCAATCCTGTGCAAGCGCTCCCCAACATACATACACACGTACATAGGGTGTCTTCCCGGACCAGAGCAGGTGCAAGAAGCCCTTGCATCAGTTTCCCAACACTCGCTGCTTCTGCTCCCACGGGCCTCATGCCCTCCCCTTCCCCAGCATCCCCCCGCCGCTGGGTGGGCGCGCCACCCGAGCTCCCCGGACACTCACACATGGCCACAGCGGGTCCGGACCGGCTGGTGTAGCACCTCCAGGCACACGGAGCAGTCGAAAGAGGTGATGGGCAGCTTCGGGTCCGCGCTGCGCTCCAGGGTGGTGGTCCCCGGGGCAGAGGAGGCGGGCGCGGACTTGGAGCTGTCGCTGCTCAGCAGGGAACCCATCGCTGCGCTTCCAGCAGGCTGCCAGGAGCTCCGTGCCGCCTGCGGGTGGTTCTGTTGTCCCTCCCCGGAGGAAGGAAGTCCAGGCCCAGCCGGGATCGCCGCCTCCTGGCTCGGCCAGCCGCGGCGCGCTGGGCCTCTCGGTGGAGCACAGGCGGACCGAGCGACCAGGCGCTGCAGAGGCTCGAGGTCCCCAGAGGGCGAAACCCGAACCCTCCACCCGCGCTCAGAGTTCCGCAAAGTCCAGTTGGAGAACAACCGCTGGAGACAGGCTAACTCTCTCTGGCCTCCAAGCTGGAATCTTAATAAGCCTCAGAGCCGACCTATGACCATTTCGGTGATTGACTCAATACTTCAATAAGGGAGTGATTAGCCTTGGGCAGCGGAAAGTTTCCTGATCCTGACGTGCAGCTGAATCTAGAGCCCCACTTGGTGGCGTACAAATACAATGCCAGCAGTCAGACAGGAGGATTGCTGCGAGTTCGCGGTCAGTTGGGCTGCATTTGAGCAAGACTGTTATCAAAAATAGATAAAGCAAGCCAGGCATCGTGGCTTATGTTTTCAGCACTTAGAAGGTTCAGGGCAGCCTGGACCACATAGTGAGTCCCAGGACGTTCAGGGGGATACGGAATGAGACCATCTCGAGAAAACAACACAGTTTTAGATGTAGTTCAGTGGTGGGGTGTTTGCCTAGCCAGTATGAGACCTGGGTTTGTTCCCCAGTACTGGAGTAAATGAAAAAGTAAAGAATAAAATAAAACTTGTCCCCGCGTGTGATGGGGCACATCTGTAATCACCGTGCTTGGGAGCTTGAGACAGGACAGAAAAAAATACTTAGGGAGAGTTATAGATGTAAATGCAGCTGTTTGGACAAATACGCTATAGACTGTGAACTATATATATTACTACAAAATATGTAATGCATAAAAATCCCCGGAACACCTGGGCAGTGGTAGTGCACACCTTCAATCCAGCATGTGGGAGGCAGAGGCAGATGTATCTCTGGGTTCAAGGCCAGGCTGGTCTACAGAGTGAGGTCAGCCAGGACTACAAAAAGAAACCCTGTCTTGAAAAAACAACAACAGAAAACAAACAAACAAACAAATCCCCTGAACTTCACCTAGTTTCTCCCAGTCCTTAGCTTTTTGCATTTTGACACTTTTAATTTTTTTTTTGTCTTTTTATGACAGGATCTCACTCTATAGCTTTGGCTGTCCTGAAACAGACTGGCCTCAGACTCAGAGATCTGCCTGCCTCTGCCGAACTTAAAAGCATGGACTACCGCGCCCAGTTGACACTTTTAAATTTTAATTTAATTTTCTATTGTTTAATTTTATGATGCTGAGCCTTGTTTGTTAGGCAAACACTACCAACTAAGCTGTAACTCAGCACCTTTTGGCTTAGGGTTTTTATTATTATTATTATTATTCTTGTTTTTGAAAATGGTTTTCACAATGTAGCTCTGCCTATCTTGGAGCTCAATATGTAGACCAGACTGGCCTTGAATTCCCAGAGATCTGCCTGTCTTCCTCCTGAATGATGGGATCAGAGGCAATCACCACTATACCCAGCCAAGCCATAAACTAATGGATAGATTTACAATATCAAGTATGTATTCTCTCCTTTTGACCAGGCTTAAAATCCAATCAGAAATCAGTTGATCGTCCCAAACAGTCATGCCACTATTACATAATTTATAGCCAATTTTTGCTGGTAGAATTTCTGTCAGAAGTAAAAGAATGCAATAAATAGTGAAGCTTGCCTGTCAGGTGCTGTCAAACACATGTCGTCTTAGACTTATTCATTCTGCCAGCGTTTAATGAGGGAGCCTACTTGGTGTCAAATACACCAGTAGACATTAGGGGTGGGATAAGGAATGTTCTAGTTAGCATTTATTGTCAACTTGACCCAGCCTAGAATCAACTGCGAAAGGCCTTTATCAGGTGGAGTATGAGAAACTGTCGTGATTGTTCATTGACGTGGGAGAGCATAGCCCACTGCTGCCAGCACCTTTCTCTGGGCAGGTGGTCATGAGCCTGTGAGTGGGCTAGAAAACTTCGGTCCTCCATGGTTTCAGGTTCTTTCTGAACTCTGGCTGGCTGGTTCAACTCAGCTGTTTGGCTCAAACTCCTGTTCAAGATGACTTCTCTTGACCTTGGACTGAATTGCTCTGCCCGGCCTCAAACTAACTCTAGCAATCTGTTGTAATCATCTGGCTTCTTTTCATTCTCTGGCTTGTTCTGTCTTTACCTGTGTCTAGCTTGTTCTCTCTTCAGCCTCTTTCTGTAAAGCAGTCCCAGCAAAAACTGCCTCTGAATTCCATGAACTGAACTGCCAGGAACTCAACTCCACTGCACTGCCTCTCAACTCACTGACTCAACCAAACTACCTGAACAGAACTGACTAGAACTCAGAGATCTGCATGCCTTTGTCTCCTGAGTGTTGGGATTAAAGGCATATACCATCATGCCTGAGCCTAAACTTTTCTTTACCTGAAACTTGCTCTGAGTTCAGGCTGGACTTGAACTCGGATCTGCTTGCCTCTGTGTCCTGGGATTAAAAGCCTGCCTGTATTCCCGCCAGATCACACAGACCTAGGTTTTTGGATGTGATCTCTTGCCAGAACAGCCATGTTCTGAATTAAAATTCCTCTACAGAGTGTGGCCTGAAAGTTAGGCCAAATACATTTCCCCTCCCCTAAGTTGCTTTTGGCTAGAATGCTTTATCACAGCAACAAGGGTACCAGAACAAAGAATTCTGCCTAGGGAGTGGACAGCTACTGGGTTTGGCTGACCATCTTCACTGTCAGTGTCTTCCTCTTTGGGTTGATTCTTCATCTCTGAATTTAAGAGATTGTTTTGACTGATTACTGTGGACCATGACATTAAAGACAATGCAGTGTATTTCTATGTGTTTCCATGACATACAATGACTTCTTCAGAGGGCTGCCACTCATTGTCTACTTTTTGATCTCATGGCCCTCCCTTTTCAAGGAATCACAGCTGATGCACTTCCTTTTTATCTCCTGCCTTTATAGCTTGCAGCATCTTGCCAGCACTTCCTTTATTCTTGCATAATCTATTCAGTTAGTTCTGTGGTCTACACCCACTCTGCACTTCTTTTCCTGTTCTCAAGGCTTTCATGCCTGATAAGCTGTTGAAGAAAATAATACAAGATATAGTCAGTGATCAGAATCTATGGAAGAATGAGAATGCTAAGTTAGCCCGGAGGGTGTAATGAAGGAGAGAGTAAGAGAGAAGAGTCTAGAGTTTGGCGTGTAGCTCAGTTGGTTGAGTGCTTTCCCAGGGTGCATGAAATTCTGGGTTTCATGTCCAGCATAGCAGAGTCTGTCTGTAGCAGTACACACCTGTAATCCCAGCCCTGGGGAGGTGGAGGCAGGAAGCTTACAAGTTTAAGGTCTCTCTAGGTAGCAAGCTTGAGGCCAGTCTGAGTTACACAAGATCCTAATTTTTAAAATTTAAAAATAAGAGTCCCTGTGCTCTGCCCAAAGTTTGGTTCTGAGTCTCAGCATCTGCTTTGATTCCCTGCAGGAATCTTTCAGAAGCCCTCTGTGGTAGGCTTCCTGTCCTGTTTCCTGTTTTCTCCCTCTCCTTCTGCCCTTCTGAGTGAGGATTAAGCATCCTAACTAGGGTCCTCCTTGTTGTTTAGCTCCTTTAAGTCTGTGGGTTGTAGTAAGGTTATCCTGTATCATTATGGCTAATATCCAATTGTAAGTGAGTACGTATCATGTGTGTCTTTCTGCTTCTGGGATACCTCACTCAGGATGATCTGTTCTAGTTCCATCCATTTGCTTGCAAATTTCATGATTTCTTTGTTTTTAATAGCTGAATAGTATTCCATTGTGTAAATGTACCACAATTTCTGTATCCATTCTTCAGCTGAAGGATGTCTAGGTTGTTTCGAGATTCTGGCTATTATGAATAAAGCTGCTATGAACATAGTTGAGCAGATGCCCTTGTTGAAGGACCCGGAGGGGACAGGAGCTCCAGAAGGAGATCAACAAAGTCAACAAATCTGGGTCCAGGGAGGCCTGCAGAGACTGATGCACTAACCAAGGACCATGCATGGGGAGGATCTAGACCCCCTGCTCAGATGTAGCCCATAGGCAGCTCAGTCTTGTGGGTCCCCTAGTAAGGAAAGGAGGGGCTGTCTCTGACATGGACTCTGTTGCCAGCTCTTTGATCACTTCCCCCTGGCAGGGTGCCCTTGCCAGGCCAGAGAGGAAGAGGAGGTAGCCAGTCCAGATGAGACTTGATAGGCTGAGGTCAGTTGGTAGGGGAAGAGGGTTTCCCATTTCCAAGGACTAGAGGAGGGGAATGGGGGGAAGAAGAAGGGAGGGTAGAATAGGGAGGACGTAAGGGAGGGTGCTACAATTGGAAGGTAAAGAGAATACAGTATAATAAAAAATATGTTTAAATAAAAATAAACAAAATTTTAAATACCAGCAGGGTGATGAAGGCCTTCAATCCCAGCACTCCAGAAGCAGAGGCAGACGGATCTCTGTGAGTTTGAGGCCAGCTACCTAAGTCTACATATCGAGTTCTTGAACATCTAGGACTACATAATGTCTCAAAAAATGAAAATAGAAAGAAAAAAAGAAAAGAAGGGAAGAAATAGCTAGGCACCATGGTGGAGCACACCTTAAATCTCAGCATTCACGGGCAGAGGCAGGAGATTCTCTGGGGGTGGAGGCCTGTCTCCATGGGGAGTTCCAGGACAACCAGTCTACGAAATGAGACTGCTTAAAGAAGAGGAGGGACATTCTAAATTCAAAGCATTCCAGATAGGTGAGGATGATGGGGATCTGGTGAGCACAGACAAGGGAGCAGGAAGCCCCAAACTATGGCTCAGAGAGCTGCACTCCCGGGCTGGAATTTTCAGCACAGAGTGAGAGGAGGCTGGAGATCAGGAGGTGTAAATACAAAAGCAATCTTGGTTAGGTACTTTCAGTTGGGTTCTGTGGCTTTATAGAAACCATTAAGAGCTCTGGTCGGTCACTGACATGGCCATACAGGCAGTTTTGTCAAGTCACTCTGTCATCAAACCATATTGCGTCAGACTCACCTGAGAAGCCTGTTGAGGTGGCTTGATGCCAATATACCAGACTTCCATGTCTGTGGTGAACTACGAAAGCTGCAACGCAGCTGGGTGCAGTGGTGCCCTCAGGAAGCTAACACAGGAGGATTGCAGAGAGCGTGAGGAGGCCAGCTTGGGGTATACAGAAAGGCCCTTTGCTCAGAAAGGCAAAGCAAGCCATCCCAAGTCAAAAGAGAAGCAAAACAAGACACCCAACCGGACCAAAACCTTACATTTTAAACAGCCCCCAGCTGGCTGGTCCACAGGGCCATCCCTTGAGAAGCAGTGGCTTCCACCGCAGCAGGCTCTGTAGGTTACTTTGGCCACAGCAGACCTGTCAGGTGCCTAAGCAGTACCTGCT